TGCATAGTAACTTTGCAGAGAATAAGTAGCAATGTTTGACCACTGATTAGTGCTAATTACACCAGCAACAAGGACACTTCTGTTGGCTACCTAAAGCTTTTGCTCATCAAAAGGTGACATGGGCTCTCACTATATTCTCTCTCCTTATCTACATCGGGGGGTTAAAAAAATCAAATGCACTTATTAAAAAAAAAAATTCTACAAGCCTTATATATGTTTGATACATTTTTATTCTTGCTACCATCAAAAAAATATTTTTCCTTTAATTTTATGTATAACCTCCTAATTATGGAATAAAATACTGTCTGAAATCACGTATATTAACGAGTTCCCTTCACACCGGTGAAAGCATTCAGATCCTTTTATTTTATTTTGTTGTTCTATTTTATTCTATTGAAGATCTCAATCTGCTACATAGGACTGGTCAGGACTTTTCCAGGCAGGACCTGCACAAAGTTTGTCAATTGTATCAACTATTTTGTTTACAAACTTTTTTTATGTGTTACAACTAAAAAAAAAAAAAAAATAAACAAACATAATAAATTCCGATGTATCAAACTACCAATAACACCTCCTGCTCATCTTGCAAGCTTCAATTTGGGAAAAAAAGGTTGCAGAATTTCGCAGAATTTCGCAGAATTCTTTATTCCGATTCTGCAGAGAAACAGTTACAGAAGCGAAATGGTTCCCTTGTATAGAAAAAAAAAATCTGTATGGAGCTTAGTGCCGGGTGATGAGGGTGATGAAAGGGTTAACAGGCACGGAGAGGAAATATATACAAAAAAGAAACAGAAACATGTGTACATGCACAAGGAGAAGTTCAGTCAGTTTATTGTTTCCTTTTCCAGATGTACTAATATATTATACAGAATTGCCTCTCCTTCTACTAATTTTAATTATTGGGCAAAGGAATAATTCTGCAATCAGTGCTGCATCAAACTGCCTTGCAGCAAAAGTGTTCACTTTCCTTCCAACCTCTGCAGAGACCATCAACATCCAATGCACACAAGAAAAAAAGCAAACACACTCTGCAAACACACAGTGCTGGGACAGCAAAACCACAAAAATAATATATAGCTATTATTAATAAAATCGTTCTGATTACTATTACTATTATTAGTATTATTATTATATTGCATCTTCTTTTTCTTCTTCTTCTTCTTCTTCTTCTTCTTCTTCTTCTTCTTCTTCAAAAAAACATATTATTATTATTATTATTATTATTATTATTATTATTATTATATTGCATATTATTATTATTATTTCACATTGCATGCTCTTGCACACAGTCCCCTTCTTCCTTTTGCTGCATGTCTTCTCTTTTATGTGGACCTGTATCAAACGACTATCATATACTGTTATTAATAGCACTACTAATATTCATATATTTTGTACCCAACCTGTGCTAATAAATGCAAAATAAATACACTCATAACAAGGCATGAAAATGTATTTTTTAAACAATGTACATTCACAAAACTCACACTCACTCTTCTTTATCAAGTTACATCATTTTGGTTGATTTTTATTTTTTACAATTATTGCGTCAAACTTTATTTTATGTTTGGCTCTCTGTTAAAATGCAATTAAATTGTTTTCACTTTATAAACTGGCGTTTTGCATCATTTAAAAAAAACAGTTTGTAGCAGTGGCGTGTCTCCCTGCAGAGTGCACGGTGCTGCCTGGAGGTGCTGCTGCTTTTTCAGTGCACAGTTGTAGTAGAAAGTGAAGGATCTCAATGGGAGGGAGTCAGACTTTATCTGCTGCACTGATGGCTCTTAAGCTCGGCAAATATTTGATGTAGTTGAAGAGACAGTGAAAGCTGTTTATTGAAGGCTGTTTGCTTGTGGCACTTCATTTCCCTGCACTGATAAATCACACTGCTGCTTGAGAAGATCAACAGATCTGCACTCCTTAATGTAGTACAGGCTCACATCATTAAAGGAGCAGGATGGGAGTTGTGATCCACTAATGAGGAGATGGGTTACTTTTGCCAAATCAGAGCAAGCTGCATTATAAACCCAAGAAGACAAATGTGATATATTGCAGCTTATCATTCCTTAGATGTGGTGGCTGCATTCGTTTTATTTATTTCTTCTTTCATTTTCACCTGGTGCCACTAATGCACTTCCTGCACGAGAGTGACAACACTCACTTACTGTATAGAGGAACAGAGTTGTTACCCTGGAACAGGGGGGTGCTGGCATGATCATCAAGTGGGAAAATCAAGGAGAAAAACCTGCAAAATAAAGAATGCAGCCACCACATAAAGTAAACTGCAATAGATTACATTTGAGCTCTTGGGTTTAGAGGAAGGAGGTGTTCTGTAGTCCACAAAGGAAGCTGAAACTGATAAGAGTCAGCACAGGCAGAGGGACCAAGACCTTATCAGTTCACTGGATTTCAGCCAGGATGAACAGGAACTTTCTTGCACAGATATAACAAAACACTTTTCATTGTATATTTAACAGACCAAAAGAAAGCAAGTGAGAGAAGTTTATTGTTAGGGTTTGATACACTTTAAGAAGAAGGTGTTTATAAGTTCCAGTTCAAATCCAGAAAACATGGGGTTTATGGTTCTTTTTAGAATAGTGGGCGGAGCCATGCAAATCACCCTTTGTATACCCCAGTGACAAGCTATTCACCCAGAACCTCGGCGGATACAGGTCTCAGATTCTAATACTTTTACTGCAACTTGATTTAGTAGTTTCAGGCTTGTTGCCAGATATGGATCACACACAGTATCTGTAAAAGAGGCGAGGTGGGGATCTCTATTAAAGGACCAGTAAGCCAAAACTGAAAAGATATTTTATGTTCTGCAACTATTAATATTTTCCTAAATACTAATTTCTTCACCTTGACATTTCCATCACTTCTGTTGACCAATGTTATCTGACATTTTGGGCTAAAAGAAGCTTGAGTGATATTGTCCTCAGGAAATCGCCAACTATAAGCTCAGCCACATAGTTGCCATTGTTGAAGTCTTTTTAAAAAAAATGTAAAATGCTAGTTTATAGTTTCTTTTTCTGATTTAGAAGCTACAATACTTTTGCAGTCACTAATCCTACAGACCAGGAGTTCTAATTCACTTGTTTGGAGCAATGACTCAAACCACTGAGGCCAGAGGCAGCCAGGTGAATGGTATAGTTCAGTAGGGGGGGTCATCATCAACTGCAGCTTCTGTACTTCTTTCTAATGCAAGTTGCCTTTGAAGTTTAACAAAAAACAAAACATTGTAAGTTGCATTTAAAACTCGTCTGCATTAACAAAACTTGCAATTTATTTGTGGAGACCCTTCAAAGGGCAGCAGGGGACCCGTAAAAAGAGACAAAATGATGTTCCATGAATGATCTGCTATTGCTGTTTATAATTTACTAAGTCAAGGCATCCACTCACTGACATAGATGAACTGCAACTTT